GAAGAGAAGTTTAATCCCTAAAGGGCAGGGAGACCAGAGAACAGGGAAAGCAAGCAGATACTTTGTGAGTGAGATTTTAACTGTCCAGATTTTTTTTGCACCAAAGTAATTCCAAGAATGAGGTTTTACAGTAGTACTGCCACAAACCAGTATGATTCTGCTGAACATGGCTGTACTGTTTACCCAGGGGCCTGACTACAGCACACTTTGCTTCCCTTGCCATGCAATACTGATCTGCAGCAATTTAAAAAGACCTTTGAACTCAGAGTGCACCCACACTGACTGTGGGCTGCCCTGTCGCAGTCGCAACAGGGTAGGACAGCACATCAACACGTGGTGCCCCATGGTTTGATCTGCCAAAGGGTAAGCAATGTGGTGGAAAATAAACAGACACTAGCTGCAAGATGGTATGAACTCGCTTGCTCCCCATATCTACCCAAGCTGGGGGCCGTTGCCACTGGAGCAGCTACCAGGGCAGCCCAGCCGCAGGGAGGGTGCAGGGAGGAAGGGCAAGCACAGAGCAGCAGCTCACTGGAGCTCCCCAATAAAACCTCCATGAAGCCCCTGCACAGCACAAGGTGGTGTCACTGCAACTCCCTCCTGTTTTACTTCAACCTAAGCAGTTTCAGGCTGTTTGGGATTTTCAGCTGGGGTATGCAGAAACCAGCTGAAAATATCTTGAATCTCCCAAGTATGATGTGGGAAGGAAGGCTCTGACTTTGGGCTGTTTAAGATTCCTGGACCCTGTAATCATAGAATCATAGAATCATTTGGTTGGAAAAGACCCTTGAGATCATCAAGTCCAACTGTACCTAACTACTACTAAACCATATCTCTGAGCACGTCATCTAGCCATCTTTTAAATACCTCCAGGGACGGTGACTCAATGAGGGCGGTCAGCTTGCAAACACAGGGAAAAGCCTGAGTTGCCAAGGATTCAAATTTAAAAGAAAGCGAAGGCACATTTGGCCTTGCTAACTTACCTGTATTTTCATGCTCACATTAGAGGTCACAGTCACTTGTACCCATTCCTACTACATACCAAAACCTGTGCCTTTCTCTGCAAGGCTGAAATGTGGACCAGAACCACCAAGTAAGAAAATACATCACAGTGTGTCCATAGACAGAGCAGCTGATAAATAGTATCCCCTTTCCAAAGCTCAGCAGCAGTGGGAAGAGCTGCAGGATGCCCAGAGGTACAGAAATGCAATAGTTGTTACTCTAGAGACCCATCTGCAGACCCAAAACTGCCAGAGGCAGCCCCTGATGAAGCTGGCAGCTTTAATGAAAGCTCAAGCACCCTCCAAACACTTTGCACAACCCCAGGGAGTGCAGACACAGTCCATGACACGTGGGTGCTCCCCCAGCCTGCCAGCAGACACTATGCAAACAGCACCGCAGACGGCAAACGCCACCTCGCTGGGCTGGGAAGCAAAGGGTGGCGTTAGTATCAGTGGTGGATGGGTCAGAGAAGGACACCAAGGGATGTGTCTCTGCACAACACAGTTCCTTGGCAATTCCTGCCAGTTAACACATGGCCAGGGAGTGCTGCTCCAGAGCATGCTGGGAATGCAAATCCCACTCCATGGGTTTTTGGATATCTAGTACCTGTGAGCAGCCTGTGCACTCCGACTGTATCAGGCCTTCACTTCGGTGTATGTGCGAGCACGCAGCAGTTGCTGCTGGAAGAGTGCTGCTACGAGGCTGGTATTGAGAGAACAACATTTCCTGTGGCCGTTTTTACAGTCAGCACAACTCCCCCTTTCTACCTGTTAGTATGTTTGTATTCCCCTTCTATCAATAGAGACTTCAGCACAAGAACCTCCCCTGGTAAGAGATTCTTCCATGCTGAACAGAAATTAATTTGTTGTCCTTTCCAGGCATGCTAATGCCTTGATGGTTACTCTGTCCCATGACAACTTACATTTTGAGACTCTTCCAAGTGTGCACCAAGCCACCCTCCGGCTGCAACCCATGCGGCAAAGCCTTTGTCACCACACAAGCCAAACACAGGCGTGTAATGAAAGGGTTAAGTCATAACACTTAGTGGTGCAGCCATATGGCAAATCTAAGCTTGTCACCATAAACTAAGAGAATCACCTCAAGGACTAAATAGAGAGCTCACCTAATTTGCCCATCTGTCCCAGGACATTTATTGGTTTAAAAAGGTGAAATAAGCTACCAGGAGGAATGCTCTGTGTTGACACACTGTCTCAAGAGTGGTCTGGTTTCACATTGGTATCACACAACCATACACTGTACTACCAAGATAAAATGTTACTCAGGTTGCAAGGTCAGCCATGGAGACATTAGAAACCACAGAACTGAAACTGGCTATAAATCTCAGCTGGACTCTTTTGTGGATACAAGTTATTTTATACTCTTTAACCACAAAATCATAAAGTGCTTGTCTACCAGAAAGATTCAGCACCCAGAGTGGAGAATTGGCTTTGAACACACATCTACTCAATGTACATTTTCTCCTCCTACTTGGTACATAGCTCTGTAGTTTACTTACTGGCCAAGTCTTGGCCTGCCATCTCGCGATGGCAGATGTTTGAGATCCTGTGAAGATGTCTGGCACAGCTTAAATATGTTTGGTTTGGGTTTTTTTTAAGTTTTTGCAAAAGCAAACTAAAAAGAAGGAGACAGTCTATTGCAACCCATTCTCACAAGTCACCTTGCTTCTAGCCCAAGGCTCCTTGCTCTGCTCTGAGGTCCAACATTTCACATTTGTGATCAGTAGAACATCCATCGTCTGATAATAGAGGCTACCCAAAAGCACAGGAGGAGCCTCCTCTTTAGTGCCCCAAAGCATACCCATGGGTGAGGTGGAAAGTACAGTCAACTGAAGTCTAATTGAATTCCTTCAGAATTCAAATCTCAGCTGCAAGCCACCACCATAGCAGTGATCTCCAAACAGAAAGTCACAAGGTTGTAAACAAGGCAAAATAAACTCTTAGGACCATACTCAGATTCTACTGTGAGCGTCCAGCACTCTGAGCATTCAAGAATACCAAGTTGTAAACCAAATCCAAACTAGATGGATTAGATGAAGGAGAAGATGTACTACACCCAGGCTGCAAAATGTTGCAGCACGCTGAACCTCTGTTAGCATTAGAGTCCAAGAGGACGAGCAGAGCCCATTGGGCTGCCCGATAACCTTGGACCACTGAGGGAGATGCTTAAAAATCACATTTTGTCAGGTCCTTCCAGTTCATTACCCTGGTCTTGGCCACAAAGTTGGTGGAAATCACAAGTAGAAGCTGGCATGTTCCAGACCTTTTAGGATTAAGAACACAGGAAGGATTGTAAAGCATCACACCAACTCCCCAGTAGCTGCAATATCCACTTAGCCAATACTGGGAGTTACGTTGATGCTCTAGGCAAATCCACATTCATGCACCTCAAAGCACTACCATACACTTGTCTGAAGGTAAAGATTTAAGGCACCCCAGGTAGACTAAGAAGCGCTCTGTTCTCACAGACTACTTGACAAAGATTGCCAGATCTCTCTCTAAATATCCCATCAGTTCTTAAGAATATTTTCCTAAATATTACTAGAAATGTGCCATGTTTACCTCACTTTTAAAATAGTACATTCTAATCTGCATTTAAAAATTAATACAATTCAAGACTAACACACAGCAGAACACAAATGACCATAAAAGTGTTTTTAAAGTTGCTTGTTACCATGAGAACAGAAAACGTGCTGTTATAAAAGTGAGCTGTGTTTCCTACACCAGATCAAATAAAAAGACATCTTGAGACAAAGCATTGCAAGACTATCTGCAAAGTGCTAGATCTTAAGAAGACAGCTTCTGCTTAACCATTCCCAGCTCATGTGTCACCATTAATTCAGGTCTCATTCCTGATTAAGATCCAACACACTTAGCCCTACATTGTCACAGCACAACCACCTGCCTTATCTCTCCCAAATGTTAACTGAGCAAGAGAGCTTCTGCAGGCCCAGAGCCGGGGTTACACCTGAAGGGAAACCTTGGGAGAGAAGTTCAGACCCATACTAATTTGGAGTTAGCCTTATTATATCTGGATTACTAATAAACTCAGGCCCGCAGTGAGATGAGTCCAGCATCCTCCTCCCAAGCTGTGGTAGAAACTTAGAGATAACAGCAAAAATGGGATTGTCTCAGTAAGACTGATATTAAAATGATCATGATGTTCTTAACTCTGTCCAAGTATAATAAAGATGTTTAATCCTTTAAGAAGAGGTCACTGCCTAGAATATGCAAGTTTTTGTTTAAATTTCAACTGATAGTATTTTCCATTTCACCATCATGCAGAAAATCCTGAATTTAAAAATAAACAGGTGGTATGGTCTTCCAGTTGTTTTTTTAGAAAACAGACTGAGTAAAGAAATAGCACTAATATTAAATGAAATTTCATACACTTCTGAATGTAAAAAAGGAACATTATAATTTCAGAAAACTGACTGTCTACAGAGACGGGCCAAGAATCTATTCCCAAATTCTGTGCATGCACGTACAAGGTGAAATAGAGGCTTATCTTAAAACAGGAGGCTCTCCTAAAGAGCCCAAATGAACTCCTACCATACTGCCTTAAAATTAAGTTGCCATTCATCACATGCAACAGAGAAATCACTTTGACTCTTCCTTTTACATAGCTCCCATGATTAAAATTATATTTTACATGAATTCTTACACCCTGCTCTCTGCCATTAGATAAAATAAGACATAATGCAACAGAGAAATCACTTTGACTCTTCCTTGTACATAGCTCCCATGATTAAAATTATATACATGAATTCTTATACCCTGTTCTCTACCATTAGATAAAATAAGACATTTGGTGTTACAATACAGCAACAAGTCAGAACAAAAAAGCATTAACTTCAGTTTAATTTGACTTTCAATAATAAATTTCAACAGAACTGAAAAGTCACATCAGTCTGTTTCTGATGGTAAAGGACACTAGCCTCTGACTTCTATCATATAAAACATTGAAAATAATTTTCTTACCGTGCTCCAATGACATCGAAGAGATGCTGCCAACGATCATTGATTTTGTTGAGTTTATCATCTATTTCTGCAACTCGGCTCTGGTTGCTAGCCTTGATTAGCTGATCACCCATTTGTTTCAACTGAAGCTTATTTTCACTGAACATGTTTATTTCTTCCATGCAATCCTGAGAAATACACACACACATTGCTTAATTCCTGGGCAAAACAAAACAACAAACCCCAAACCAAAACTATCTGCTTCTTTTCCCACGTGTGTGACATGAATTCAGGTTTGGCTTGTGATGAATGAGGTTTCTATATTAGCATGTAAAACTCTTTCACTTAAAATAAAGCAAAAAAACCCCCAAACCTCAATAGAAAAGCACTCTCACAATGAAGCCACTATGAAAAAATAAGCAGCTTACCTTGCAAGTGCCAGGAGTAAGTACTCCTAAAATAGCAGTTCATTGTTCTAATTTTATCTCTGCTTTCCTCATTTAATGTAATTTTTCAATCAAGCTACCTCAAAAGAACCCAAATTCAAGTCTAGGATGGCTTTATTGTGCTGGTATTCTTATCTAGAGGACATCTGGGATTAGATATGGAGACCTTTAAGCCATGAGGAGGAACACTGCAGCAAAATAATGGTCCTGCTTAAAATTAAGCTAATACAAGAGTATTAGGAAGCACTGACTGCATTGGCCGCCAAGGAGAAGGGGCAGAATTAGGTTTTATTTTCGGTTCTGGTAACTTCTTGTTTGCCTGGTGCAAGACTTACCCTATCCTCAATCTTTCCTTTGCCCTCTGACTACCAGGTTCGTAATTGCTGACACAAATGGAGGCGGTGAGAGCAGCGAGATGCTCCCAGGGCACCACTGGTCCCCAGCAGGCAAAGCTCTGAGCAGTGCTGTATGTGCATGTGTGCCCAACAACCCACACCCTCACCACCCCAACTCACATACATCACACTCCGTGCCTCAATGCACCCAGGTGGCGTTTCTGTTTTACGTTATGCTCCATGTCTGAACATGAAGAAGATGGTAAGAGCTGAGGCTAGAAAAGCTCATCTTCTCACAAAAGCCTGTGCATGATAGTTTTATATCACGTATTGCTTCCAAGAGGCGAGGAAGAAATGAGGAATGGTGTCTCTTGTTGTGATAACAAGCTATCAGACTGCAATTGAAGAAAAGTGGTGTTACTACTTACCTTCTGCAATTTGTCTATCATGTCTTCAATGCTAACATCTGCAGTCTGCAACACTTTGCTTTCCATTTGTACCAGCCAGGAGCAGAGCTCCTTATTCTTCTCATTAAACACAATCCAGGCATTGAGCCTGTCCTCGATCTCCTGCTTACGCAGAGACACCTATGGATAAGCACACACATTAATTGCTGTCAACATCTTTCTCAGGAAGGAAACTAGCAATTATGAGCCTTCTAATTTCTAGTCTGCATTTGATCATATTCCATTTTGCAGGAGGAGTTATTAAGTATCTCTCACTTTCCTTTCAAACTCAGCAAGCGGATTGTTATTACAACTTATTTTGGATAGCAGGGCCAAAAGTTGACTTGCAAACACCAGATTCTCTCCATCAGAAGAATTAAACTTATAAATAATGAGCTTATATAACAATTTAAATATTACTCAGTTTGACTGAAAATGTCAAACAAAGAAGGAATGTAAAATAGATAATTACTTCATACTGCTTAGTATGGTCTCATATACAACACAAGAGAAATAACACCTAGGTAAGCTCTTATTTTTTTGCAATTGTAAGAGAAACCTTGCAACTACTGACTGCAGTTATTTTATCCCTATAAAAACCTCCCTCCTTTCTTCCCATATGCTCACCAGTTCTTGGATAACTTACCAAAAAAATCTGCATATAGAATCTATCTTTTTAATTGAAAACTGCATTTTTTTTTCCCCCCTCAAAATTACACTTGCCAGGACAAATAAAGAAATCGTCTAGATAGAGAAATTAGGGTCTGATGCTGCCTGAACCAGCAAAGCTAATATCACTGCTCCAACATCTCAGAAAGAAGCAGGGTCACTCTTCCACTAGCTAATGGTACTTATTTCTAGCCTAAGAGTCTTAAATATATATTTGTATTCATTTATCTACTTTGATGGATTTATCTATTTATCTACTACATTTATCTACTTTGATGGATTCCTGGATTCCAGATGTATGGGATGAAGGAAATGAAAAATGGTACATGTTCTACTAAAACAAAACAAGTCAAACAACTAACTCTTCACCCACACCAATAAACTTTGTGTGAAGACCAAGCATAACATTTTGTTTGCCTTGGCTCTGAATGGCCACTCTAAATATCACCCTATGGCAGGAAACATCCCCTCTTCACATCTAACATGAACCTTATACAGCATATGACTCCTCAACATACCATTCTTTATTCTCCTAGACTAATCTCTAACACTACTTTGTACCTCAGGGTGAAGTTTGAGTGAGTACTGTGGAAGCAAGACCAGTTCCATGTAACATCAGGATCAAAACAGGAGGCACCAAGTGATCTCTCACTATATGACTTTTGTCCTTTAAATTCTGACTTTTTTTTAAGGAGGAGATGGGGAGATAAAAGTGATTTCTAAATCTTCCATGATGATCTAAGCAAAAAGATGAGGTTGAAAGCACTGTCTTGGACACAGGGAAACAATCTCTGAAGTTCTCACTGGGAAGAAGTCTCTTGGAGACCCCAGAAAGTCTCCCTAAGAGGGCCTCTGCTCTGGGATGCTCCCTCGTACCCTCAACCTCAGAGGTATGAAATGTAAATCTCTCATCCTCCCTCTACCACTTGCAGCATCTCCCATGTGCAGAGGCGAGTTAACTTGGTCAGTAGAAGAAGAGACTCTGCATGTCAGCAAAACCATCATTAAATCCTGAAATCATCCTGAGTACATTTTTGCTTCCTCTATGGGGCAAGGCAGGATTTTAAGAGCAGGAAGCACCTTTTAGCAGGCTAAGCAACACAGATTGGGGGTAGAAGAGGAACAAGCCAAAAAATCCCAGACAAGCTTCTAGGAACATGAGCCCTTCAAGTCAGGCCTTGCTTTGAGCAGCTTCTCCTTGGGCCAGTTGCCCGGGATACTCAGTTTTGCATCTGCAGCGTGATGCTGGAGCAATGTGGGCATTCCCAAGGGAGGTTACTTAATAAACAGATAAATTTTATATGTTTCTTTTCCAGGTTAAGTAAAGGTGGCCTGTCCACCTATGTCAAATTCTGTGGCAAATATCCAAATTAGGAAAAGGTGACACATCATGTGTTTGAGTCCACATTCATCCCGACACACCACCATTGCTGTCCAAAAGGGACCATACCCAGATCTTTCCCTTCTAACTGGCTTGTGGCTGTCGTGAGCAGGTTAGTTTGACCACTGATGAATTAATAACAATTATGTAATACAAAACAAATATATGTACCATAACAATAGTTCAATGTTAGCTAACAACATGTCTATACATGTAATGAACAATGAGCAGACTTTTTTCTCTCTTCCCCCCCTCCTCCCCCCTTTTTTATGGTGGGGTTTTCTTTGGTTTTTTTGTTTGGTTTTGGTTTTTTGGGGTTTTTTTAATAGTCTAATAACAGTTCTATTTTTACTAGCGAGCATATGTACAATATCCACTGAGGTAAGTAAAGCCTGGTTTGAAAGATGCTGGGTGATCTTCTCTTGTCTGGAGTCAGAAAGTCCCAACTTCACAATTGCCTTGATGCCACTTCCCCCATGTGCCATATATAGAATATATGATGGATATGTAGATATAAAGAATACCAAGGCCCAGGCATCCAACCCATACGCTAGCGTTCATTAGGATAGGATACTTCTGCTATGAATAGTTACATCTTTGACGTACATGTACCTTGCAAGGGCTGCTGTGTAAACGCTAATCCCTTCAACACATCTGCTCTCTAAGTGTTTGTGCCCCTGCCCACAGGGGCACCTTTTCCTAATCTGGATATTTGCCACAGTATTTGACATAGGTGGACGGGCCACCTTTACTTAACCTGGAAAAGAAACATATAAAATTTATATGTTTATTAAGCACAGGCATCTGGCTGCCCGGCTCCCATGGCTGTGACAGCTGCAGCTGCGTTTTGCTCTTCAAGGCTTTCACCTCTTCGCATTCATCCTAAAGACTTTTTTGTTTTTTTTTTCATACAATACATCTTCATTCTTCTAATTTGTCAGGCAAAACAAAGCAGTCATGCTCCCAGCGGAACTGATAAAGTCTGCTTTCCTACCCTCCTGTCCAGCGCTGAGCATCAATCAGTGCAGGCTCTCTGGAGGCTCAGTAGGGCTGTGTAAACATTTCAGCATGTTCCTCCGCTGCAGCACTGAACAGATCCCTCCCACTACAGATTTTTGTGTGCCTAACACACTTATATCAATGTCACCCCTTTCTGCTCTCCCAGACAGACTGAACTAAACGTTGTTCCCTCAGGAAATTAAAATAGAAATTCTGAATAAAATCTAAATTTAAATTACTACAGGAAATTACTACTTGGATAGACTATACTGGGGTACAAACAAAAGTTTAATTTTCAGAGCTGTTCTCCACAGCTGAAACAGCAGGCATCAGCAGTTCATCAAAATAGGAAAAACAAGTTCTCTCATTTATAGGCTTAACTACAGATTTCCATTAGGAAAATGGTTCGGGCAGTTTGATTTAAACATAATGGCCTATATTTCTCAGGAGGGGGGAGGGTGTCTCTGGAATTATTTTCAGAGTTCAGAAACAATAACAGAGAGAACATTGGTTGTAGATTAACCGTCCAGTTTAAGGCAAAGATCCTAAATTCTTCTTTCTTGTTGCAACGCAAAAAATAAACCCAAATAACTATTTCATCACACCACAGTTTGTGAAATAAACACAGCTGGTCATTACTCTGGCAATATTCCCACCAGGATTGCTCTACCTTTGCCTGAGTAAGGGTTAGACATGAAATACTATCTCGCTTCAATCCTTCCTTAAAAATTGTAGAATAAAAGCCATTGACTTGTGAGTAAAGAGAGTCAAGAGTGTGGCTTGCTGGCACACAGAGCCACCCAGACTAACTTAAAATCTCCAAGTATTTTACTTCTTCCAATCCTGTTAATAGGGCAAAGTAAACACACATTCAAACTGCATAATAACTTAATGAATCAAGTTCATGTGACTTTGCTGGTAAATGTTCCCCAGGAATTTTACAGGCAGCATTAAATGAAGTGTAATATAGCAACAAGCCACAAAGAATGCAAACGCTTCACAGTGTTTTACTCATACAAAAAAGACAAGTCAGTTCTTAACGTGTTTAAACCCAAGGAGTCAGTATTTAAATATATTTAAGTTTTCTTTATCAACTCTCCTGACAGTTTTTTTTTAAACATCAGATTGTAAAGACCTCCCCCTTCCTTTCTCTGCTCCATGCCCTCAGGCAATTCCTGTGTTTATCCCTCTCCCTCCCTTTGGCAGCCCAGAACAAAGCCACAGCTTTCAGTAAACAGCTGCATGGGAGTTCTGTGCAATTCAGGCACTCACTCCTTACAAAGGGCTTAAAAAAAAAAAAGTCTCAGCAGCCCGTGTCCAGGAAACAAAGGACAAACTTCAGCCCTGGTCAGCTGCACCAGGAGAAGCCCCATCCCACCCAAGGCAGCGAAAGGAGCCAACCCCAGGAGAAATCCCGCCTGGTGACCTGCCAGGCCCTGTGACTATCCCGCTATCAAACCCCAGAGGAGGCACAAGACTTACCCGCAAGCAGAGCTCTTCCCACTGCCCGTGCAAATGTTCCAGTTGCTCCCTGAGCAGCGTCACGTCCTCGGTGAGGATGCAGTAAGCCAGCTGCACCTTCATGGCCCGCAGCTCCTTCATGTCGCGGGCCCAGTCTGCCAGCGACTGCTCCAGCTCCTGCATGAAAACGCACCGGCACAACCCTTGGCACTGAGCTCCTCCGCTTCCCAAACCTGCTCGTTAATCCCCGGCCGGGCCCGTGGGGGAGGAGGGAGGGGAACGTGCCGCCGCCTGTGCCGCTGCCTCTGCCGCCCGGGACGGGATGGGACGGGACGGGACCGGGACCCCCCGCTGTTCCGCTCGGGGCCCGACTGGGAGAGCTGCTCCTGCTGGTTAGCTGCTGCCTAACTAGCTGCTGCTGCTTAACTAACTAGCTGTGCCGCAACCGGTTAACTGCTGCCAGTTAACTGCAGCTCCCCATGCTTCAGGGCAGCATTTGGGGTTTCACATCCAGAAAGGAATGTGCCTATTTCTTTTGAGTTTTCTTTTTTAAAAATTATTATTAGTTTGGCCAACTTGCTTTCCACCTCTATTTGTCCCCGTTTCAGGTTATTTATTTAGATGCTAAAAAAATAAAATTGCTTCTCTTCTCTAATGAATGATTTCAAAGGCACCTCATCAGATTTATCAGAAACGTGGAGCTTTTAAACTTGCTCTTTCTTCTGCTTTGTTCCCCTGCCTGCCCTTTATAACAAGGTTATGCAGTTTCCTCATCAGTGTTAAAATTGTCACCTAAAAAGCAGGGACACTACTGCATGCAGCTGGGAAACATGCTACTCTACACACGAGGAACTAGATCCTGTTTTCCAGGGCGGTTGCTGGAAAGTGTCACCAGCTCCTCTAGCAAAAAAAAAAAAAAAACCAAACTCTTACAGAGGATCCAGTTTGTCTCATTTCAAAGGGAGAAAAATTGTGATCGTTTGTAGCAGAAGTGTGCTGGGTCCAAGCCCTGCAAGCATTTTTCACAGGTCTTTTGATCCAATCACTTATCGAAATAATTAAAAAAAAATCTGATCTGCTTTAACACTGCAGGGAAAAAAACAAACAGACCCAAGACTAAAATTTCCCTGAGCTCACAACAAATTACTCCCTACAGATATGCACATTTGCATTTATAGATCTTAATAAGGGTGGAATCCCTGCATTAATGGAACTAACGATAGAATTTCACGGGACTTGTATAGCCTTGTATAAGGTCCAGGCCTGAGAGAAAAAACAGCTTTATTCCATAGAGGAGTGAAATGCAGGGAGAGGAAAGGAAGTCCTTTCTCCTCCATGCCATTTTGGTCCTTTATTTTATTATACTGTGACACCCAAGAGCAGCAACTGCACTGGCACTGTCTGACCCTGATGGCTCTGTGGCTGAATTTCTCTTACTGGAATAAGAGGCAGGAGCTGTGTGCTTCCATCTCACAAATAATTCACGGCTACAGCAAGACTGCTGCCGTGGGAAAGGCAGCCAGCACTCACAAAGAAGATTTCAGACAGCTGATAATGAGTTCAAAGCCTTGGCTTGTTAATAAGCTTATTTGTTCCCACTACACAGGTCAACAATTCACTTCATAAAAGGATGATGAAAGACTGACCAGTCCAGACAAAATGTCTCCTATCCCTTGGAAGTGCTTTCCTTGCTATTTAATTTTCATGGTACACTATGGGCTGCAAGGCCTTTTGCCACTCCCTTACTCTTAATTTTCCTTCTCTTTAATTATTCTCAGAGCCTGCAGGTGTGCATGGTGCTTTGCAGATTTACAAGGTCTCCTGCCTGAGGAGCTCCCTGTCCAAAATGGACTGGAAAACAAAAAGGGAGATTCAGCCATTAGGATAGCAGCCAATTGAGCTGGGACCAGGGAGATTTCTCCCTTTTGTTTGAGGAACTGCTGATTTTATAAATTTAGACTGTGGAAAGGGAGCAGAAGCAGGAAAAAAAATCCAAACACTACTACTACTCTTGTAATCTTCTTAGTCAGATGGACTTTGCAGATTGGCAGTAATCAGGTTGGTATAAAGGACAGAAATTCAGTGTGGCTGAAGAGCAGGTAAGAGGGAAAACTGACTTTACAGGGATTGGGTGTTGTGCAAAGACTACATCTATTTAAATACAATATGGCTGCTCAATACCTTAATGTGTTCCTTGGCTTTGTAGAGCTCTTCATGTTCAACTGGAAGTGGATCTTTTACTTTCTCCTTCAGCTCTCTCAGCTTGCTTCGTAATTCCTTCATTTGCTTTCCACAGTAGTCCCAATTCTGCCCAAGGAAGTTATAAAAGGTTAAGATACTTTAGCATTATATATTGTACCATATTGATATGTTACAAAATAGCCTCTTCCACCTACTGAAATTAAAAATCATGCACTCTGGTTATTTGGATTTTCTTTTTGTTACACTGTACCACCCATAAGAATTTGGTGCATGGATTTACAGGAGAAGTTGCACTCTCTCTTGAAATTAAGGTTTGTCTTACAGAGCATTTCTGCTAATTTTGTTTTATCCCATCTGAGAGGCTTTTAGCTTTTGGGCTGGGAATCGTATTGGTGACAGTATTAAATTTTAAGACATACCTATGTGCTGTCTAGCCATGGAAGCAAATTTATTGCTCTAAGGAAATAAATATGATCTACCTTTCTGTTTAAAGGTGCAACAACAGGAGGAGCAACGAGTCAAGCTAACTCCCTCGAAGGTAAATTTTAGCTCAGGCTTCACAGCCTGAAGCAGGAGAGAGATCCAGGCCACAGGGAGCATAAGAACAGAGTGGGAACATCCATTGTAGCAGCAAATAGATGCCAACCCCATTTTCCTTTGGAGAATCAGTGGACCCCAGTTTTAACTTCCCACAAGCCCCGATGGCACATGACAGTCAGTTCCCTCAGAGCCTCTCTGCAGCGAGCAGCAGCTCAGCATTTGCCTTGTTGCTACAGAGCTCAGCCTTGGGAATGGTGGGGCAGGGAAGCTCTTGAGACCCAACACCAGAGAAGCAGGTACCACTCCTTTCTGGGGAGGGCATCATCTACCTGTAGGGTGCTGCTGATATGCATCTTCTTCTCCAGCTGGACCTGGGTGTCTCCCCAGCTCTGCTGTAACTGGCTGAGCTCCTCCTGGAGAACAGCACTGGTCTCAGGATCGGAGACAGTGCGTAACTTCTCCCCGACATCGATGATTAAGGAGTACATGGCTTGCCACCTCTGAAGAATCACAGCCTTACTCTTTAAAAGGAAAAAAGAAAAAAAGTTTCTAAGCAGTTCTTTGCAAGCTGTAGAAGCACGCTCCTGGCATTTCACTTGGGAAGAAGTGAAGACTCACAAAGAGAGTTACAAGGCACTAGTTCATATTCATGCAAGAGTAATGAATATATCTTCCCATCTGCTTTTTTCATTTCAGAAGAATCAGATTCTTTCTAATCTTCTGATCTATAAAACTCTACAATAGCTTTTCACAGACTAAATCTATAGAGTGAAAGTGCAGCAGTTACAAAAAGATAGAAATTCAGTTGTCTGAGTTATTCTGAATAAAAAACCAGTTTAAGTTCTGTTAGTACCTCTATCATCAAGAACTAAGACAAATTTTTCAGAGATAACAGCTCTGTTAATCATGACATACTCCAAGTTAAGTAAGCCATCAATAACAATTTACCTACAACACAAACTGGTCTATAACACAAGCAGATATGATCATTGCTTCCTTCTGTAAAACAACAGCAGGAGGGAAGGGCAATTTGGAGTAGGAGGGAGAAGACTTTCTGGCTTTTCTCACTAAGGAAAAGCATAAGCACTAACTTGTAAAATCTACTGAAAACCATCTTTACAAGGCAGGTAAAAATAAAGATGAAATAAGTCGATCAAGCACCACATGGAATATAGTAATGTGTTAATCCATCACCATTAGGTGTGTGGGAACACAATAAATCTTGGACCATGCAGATAGCACTCAATAATGTATTTTTGAAAGGTTTTAGATTGCTTTAAGCAACCGTCAAGTTCACTGCTTGTTTTTACTTTCTTATAAAACAAAGAGGTGCATAATTAAATGGAAAACCAAAATACTCAAAATTAATAAAGGGAAATATTTTTTCCCACGGCATGTAAAATGCAGAACTCGCTGCCCTGGAGAACTGCTGCCCAGGTCTGTGCATCCTGGAGTGGTGGCTCCAAGGAGAGACCCCCTTGCAAGTGCTTTATCCCCTGCTCCTGTCACCTCCTGCCCATCCCTGCATGCACAGGACCCAAGACATGGCCTGTCTTGCCACGTATGTGCCTGCTTCCTTCAGTCAAACTGCAAGGCCTGCATGCAGGAGCCATGCCAGTAAGATGCACACAGACCTAGAGGGTACTTGCCTAATCTCCCTGGCACCCTCCATTTCCATGTTCATACCAGTAATATTTTTAAAGCATACCAACACTACTAAATGACTATGTTGACCAGGAAGTTTCCTAGTATAGGGAGCTTTTCACAATGCCACTATTTTCTCATCTGTGCTCAGCTTTTTGTCAGCAATTTTTTTTCACCAAAACACATGTAATTTTAAAGCTTTTTACCTCACTGAAGTTGTTTCAGTCTGAGAAAAAAAATACAGATTTTAGATTTATGAGAAATAAATACAGTACCTTGATTTCATGAATTAGGTTTCTAAGCTCGTAAGGGCTATAGCACTCCTGGCTCTTCACAGCTTTGAGGAAGCTGTTTGTATCAGCAAGAAACCTGCTGAGACTCTGCAGGGAACTCCTGAAGAGCTGCCACTGGCTCACGAGTCCATCAATATTTGCTGAACCATCCGGATTACATTCTGCCACTGCTCTTTCAGCAATGTGAGCTTGGAAATAAACTCTGTTCTGAAATTGACAAGTGTTGAATGTTAATATATTTTGAACTCAAGGCTGCGTTTTACAATAATTGTGATTGATTTCCGTTTGCAACGCTGTATTCCAATTGCAATACCCAACTATGCAAAAAGCTCTGTGCAGCCCTAAGCTCAGCCCTGCTCTCTGTATTCCATCTTTTAAGCAATCTGAAAAACCTTTAAAATGATACAAGAACAGATAATGCAAATCATTCTTGCTATTATGGTATAGCAACATATATAGTATAGCAATCACAGAAACAATATGCACTAAACACTACTCTGAAGAACAGGAAGGTCAATGCAAATGAGACAACGTCTCTGATTACGCTGCTAATTGATTTATGCATTTACCAGGCTGTAAGCAGGAGTTCAGCCATCATTCTGTCCTACAGCAGTGGGACCTAACTGCAAAGTGAAAATGCTCTGTCTTCTTATTGAACCCATTCGAGCAGTTTCTGGCCTCTCCTACAACATGGTGAGATGATCCAGCAGATCTAGCTGGAGTGATTAAGGCAAACCCATCTCTCAGTTTTGCTCATCTGCAGAAGGCTATGGCCCCAAGACTAGCTCTTATAAAAAAACACCTGTTTTGTGGAGCTGGCTTCCACACAACAATCCAACAGCTTTACTTAGTTTAGTTCTACCTTCCCTGGCAGTTTTAAGCCAAGCTATGGACTTCATACTTGAAGCAGCTGAGGGGAGTGCACACACTGTACTGCCAACTCTCTGGAAGCAGCAGGCTCTGGCAGAGAGGGGTAATGTCTTCACAGCAAAAATCACTGAGGCAGTTCAACTTCTGCTCACAAATATTACTTGCTGCTTCTCACTGAACATTGATTAAAAGTATAAGATTGTACTGATAAAAAACAGGTTTAGCTACCATATGTTTTGAGTTGTGTGGCAAATGATTCAATGCCCCATCACGTGTGCCAGGGGCAATGTGGATAGTCTCACACCTCTGCACTTTAAAAAGCAGAGAGGTCTAGGAAGAGAAAAAGAATCCTTCATATGCTGCATTCTCATTACCCTCTGTAAGAAGGTAGCTTCTCAACCACAGTTACCATTTCAACAACTGCAGGGCAGCAGTAGACAAGGAAGCCTCTAGTCCAGGAGAAATTGTTTTCGTTAGCCAGAACATCCAGTTACTATCCAAAATGCAGCCTGGCCAGGGCACCTCTGTTTCATTCTCACTGCACCCCCTCAGACTCAGCAAAATGTGCCAGGGGGTTATTTAAAGAGCAAACTCAGTCAAGAATTTAGGTTTATGTCCTCATGAGAGCAAAGATTCAATATCAACTCCAAGGAAGAAAGCATATTCACTGAATTACCAGGATCTTGGGAAAAAACCCCAATAGATTACCTTTTCTCTGCTTCTCCGGATTCCAGGAAGAGTAGAACTTTTGTTATGATAGAATTAAATGTCTGCTGATTTATGGAAATCTCAGTTTGCAGCATCTGAAAATACCATGAGAACAACAGTTTTAACTATTCACTGAACAATCTTTGCTATGAAAGCTGGTTCTGCTCCTCCTGAGTGACAGCATTTATGAATTTTAAATGCTGAAAGCACCTTTATTTTCACGTGCTCTATTATTTGCACATAAATGATAGCAGAACCCACTAGGAGCTGTATATAACAGGTAATCTAAAGCCTAAATTTGATGGACTCACTAATGAGAAATGCAATCTAGACAGAGACCTATAGAAAAGGTACAAAAAACTTACATATAAGGGTGAACTTACTTTTTATCATAACAAGCAAAAGTTTATTCTATAAATAATTTAATTGCAATGAATGAATTGGAAACATCTAAGTAAAAGAGAGAAAATAACTTTCCATGGACCCTAATGAATATCACTAACATGCAGAGAATTAACACCCCATGGAATCATCAGCAGTACTTCAGGTAGCGTGAAGCTCTGGTCCACTGCATCAGCACAAAGCCCACCGTAAGAGTTCATGATGTTTAGCATTTACCACATGATTTTTGTTTTCTGTCTTTTGGTTGTTTTTCCATCCCCTCACCGCTAAGACAAAGTCTATAGATAGACACTCTCTAGATAGACATTGGAACTGCATCCCAATGCTACTGCTAGCATGCAATGGACCTTCTCCTCTGAATGGACACCATCATAGGCTTGTGAAGCAATATCTCTATAACACATAGCAAGTGTTTGGAAAAATGCCAATGAAACAGATATCCACCAAAATCAAGCAACTGGTCAAAATGGAAATATGCTGTGAAAATATTTTGGTTTAAATGCAGTTCTTCCAGAAACTGGTAATGTTCCTGCCAGATTGCCAGCAAACTGCTTAGCTAGTTGCCACAGGCCACAGCCTTCAGTGTGGTAGGACAGGCAGATAGGTGACTAACCTCAGGGATGGAGAAACCTAGGACCTCCATGACACAACACTCGAGTACACACTCTTAAATGTCTTATCCCTGCAAAAAGGGATCCATCCATTTTGGAAAAGGATTTTCAAATTTCAAAGTTTTCCTCTGTACAAGTACAAGGCCACATTTCAAAAGAGTAAAACTCTGCCCAGATCTAATTTCTAAAGGCATAGTATTTTCTAGTGATTTCCCCCCACCTTCACCATTCAAGAAGATGCTTCTATTTTTAGTGTTAGCTTTACCTCATATACTCTCTGTTGCTCTTGCAGTTCTTCAAACCGTCCTGGAATATTTGTTTTTAAAGCCTCCTTCATTTTTTCTTGGAATTTAATCCAGTTTTCACATTTCTGAAAGAATGTCTTTTCATCATTTTGAGTTCCCTCAAGCACACTGTAAAACAAAAGAAATCATCAGAAACTATTGTGTTGGTGGTTGTTTGTCTGGATACATTTGCATACGGCCTAACGTGGTGGTTAGCAATACTAACATAGCAGGGTTTTGCTTGGCACTTTGCTGCCTTCTTCACCTATGAACATCTAGATTTTTGTTTCAAGTGACTTGGAATACAAATAGTCACTGAATAATGTGGAGTAAGTTGAAAGGGCAGGAATTCAACTTGGAAAGCTCCTGAGAAAGCTGAGAACAGATTGCAAGACTTCCCATGCTTTCATTTGGTTCTGATTTTCCTCACAGAAAAGGAAATGGTTAGTAGTGATTTTTTCAGACCTGCAGCGTTCCAGAGCAATTGCTGTTTTCTGACTCCACTGCCGAGTCAGGCTCTGCATTTTCTTCAGGGTGAAGTCACTGAGTGGCAGCTTAATGCTTGCTTCATTCAAACTTTCTATGCTTGGAGAAAGTGCAGCAAGCTCCAGTGTGTGATTCTGGAAGTAAAAAAATTAAATTAATTGCAAAAAAATACTGCTTTTCTTTCATTTCAAAGAAATATAGAAGCCTCTTTCGTAGGAAGCATCTGAACATTATGCACCCAAAATGCTAACCCAAAAAACCCCAACATTTCTTTGTTAACTTCAAAGAATATAAGAAACAAAAAGGTCACAATTCCCTTACACAGGGCCCCTTTTTCCAACAGTACTGAGAACATTATGCACCCAAAATGCTAACCCAAAAATCCCCAACATTTCTGTGTTAATTTCAAAGAGTATAGGAACCAAAAAGGTCACAATTCCCTTACACAGGGGCCCTTTTTCCAACAGTACTGAAGAGATACTCAGGAGCTGGTACTTGCAGATTCACTTTGTACCCTACATTGAGGGCAACAGGGTAGCTCCAGAGCAAAGCTTGGGAAAAGGAACTCCCATCAACCCCAAATCTGTGTGATTTTCCTCCCCTCCAGGCAGGCATTTTAGAGTTTTTATGAACTTTTTGCTTTGTGTTTTGGATGAGATTATATTTACTCTGATGGAAGTGCCATAACTACAATACTTAGGACACAAAATGTTCCTTGAAGTAGGCAAGAGCTGGTACCCTATGGACACAAATTCTGAGTAGGTATCTTTTTCTGCTTGGGAATACAAACGTACCATGAGCAATTCTGAGTTGTCTGTTTCTCCTTCTAGACAGAGACTATCAAAGGCATCTGTGCAATTCTTGACACGACTCTCCAGCGTTTCAAGGCAGTTATTGAAATCCTCCAGTTGTAAAAGATTGAACTAGGGTGAATAGTGCATATTTACATTAATTATTATTTAATATACATATTCAGTATATAAGAAGGAGCATAAGCAGTATTGTCAGGAAAACAAACACGTTAAATGCAAATTCCAAAGTATCTATAACTGACTAACTGAACTTTTTCAGGTTTTGCAGTGGATAAGGGGAAAATTTAAGTCAAAGCAGAGAACAAGAAACTGAACCTCTAAATCCCAAGAGATTCATATCCATATGGAAGGAATAAGGGCATCTGCAATATATTTTTGTGGCTTTGGGCTGTTTGATTTATTGTGAAATTGGAAAGCCAAAACTTATTTTATCAGATGGAAGAAAATTGTGAAAATGAGGTTCCTTTGAGCTACACACAGGGCCTGCTCCCATGTGCCTACAGCCAAGGCTGTGTAGGTTACATGAGCTCTGTGCAGAGAAATAACTAGGGCTGGAATTCACCTTTTTTATTCACTAGGTTTGTTTCTTTCAGTCAGGGAGAAGAGCACTGGGGAAGCTTTCTCTGTCTTGCAAGAATTAAGCTTTACGTCTCTGAGAACACCAAAACAGCAACATTTTTATAAGGAATGAATGGCAAAAATTGGTGTGGGGAGAGAGACAGTTGTGTGTTAACACTACAGGGTTGCACCAGAGAAAATGGATATGCAGAAATGAAATTTTTCATGGAGCGAGAAGATCACAGGGAGTATGAGAAATCCGTTATCTTCACAAAGATATCTGGATTCCAGCCACTGAACTGTGCTGGTAGATAGAGTCATAAACAGAGCTGGCTGAAAATTTCTTGATGAATTTGGGTTTACTTTAGAACAGAACAATTCATTGAAACCTGTCTTTTTCACAGGAACAGATTAGTTTTACATCACTACATTTGTACAGCAGTACATTTGCTTGCAAGTTTTCTCAGGAATACCTGAGAATTCAATCCCAAGGAACTCCTGTGAGCAGAGCATCATATGGGGAAACCTGGATCCAGGTCCCTCCATACTTTGCCTGAACACGGATGTGAATATGGTCTTCAAAATTACATCAAATGACCAGTTTTCTGCTCAGTTTTAGATACATTGTGTGCACTCTTACAAAGCAAACTGAAGCCCTTAGGTTTTTTCCAAGGCAGAGCTGAGAAAGTTTACCACTTACTTTGAAGTTCATAAAATAAAAATACATTTCCTAACCTGTAAACATCTGAGGGTCTCATACTCCTTGCCTGTAATAGTTCCACTTACAAAAGCTTGTTAGAGCAACACAAGGGGGTAAGTAGGGTGAAACCTTCTTCATCTGTCCCCCTGGCTTCATGTATTATTTCTGTACATAGCTGATCATACTGTCAAGCTTTATTTTACTGAAAATTCATTTCAGTTCAAGAACTATGGGGCACTAGTGAAGAAGGTATCTCACACAGGGCTTCTAGTGAACAAGTTGCCTCATACTGAGTCATTAAAAAAATACCTCCAGTTCATCTAACTTCCTCTGCAACATCTTTTCAAAATAGGATGCTCTCTGGAGCGTCTGTAGCTTCTCCAACAGAATGTCTTGTGCAGTTGTCCCAGCCTGCTGTTTTATCTGATCAGCCAGCAAAGAAATCTGGGTATACCATCCTGCTATGTTCTGAAGGCCACGCTGTAAATTCTGATGAGAGAAGAGGAAATAGAAAAAAGTCATCAAATGAATCGGATCATAATTCATGTGACACTTTCATTTAGTATCTTTTGTTGCTGTAACTAAGCTGTTTTTGTTGATCTCCTCCAGGAGCTAAATTCAGCTATGGTGAAAGCTTCAGTCTTTTACTCAGAGGACAATGGGAATTGCACCCATTGACTCTAGCGCTGGGAAAGACACAGTTCAAAGTTCAATGGAATGCCAGTGACTTCAGGCAGTGGGATACTACTGCTACAGAGGAGATCGGGAAGAGAAATCAAAACATCTCTCTCTACAGAATCACAGAATGGTAGGGATTGGAAGGGACCTCGAAGGACCATCTAGTCCAACACCCCTGCCAAAGTAGGATCACCTACAGTAGGTCACACAGGAACACATCCGGGTGGGTTTTGAATGTCTCCAGAGAAGGAGACTCCACAACCTCTCTGCGCAGCCTGTTCCAGTGGCCTCATAGTGAAAAAGTTTTTCCTTATGTTTACATGGAACCTCCTGTGCTCCAGCTTGCACCCATTAACCCTCGTCCTGCCGTTGGACATCACTGAGAAGAGCCCAGCTCCCTCTTCCTGACATTCACCCTTTACTTATTAATGAAGTCACCCCTCAGTCTCCTCTTCTCCAAGCTAAAGAGACCCAGCTCCCTCAGCCTTTCCTCATCAGGGAGATGCTCCACTCCCTTCATCATCTTTGTGGCTCTGTGCTGGACTCTCTCAAGTAGTTATCAGTCACGTGAGCTGTCCCACCATGCCTCTGTAATTGCCACCAGATCACAACCCCTTGACCCCAGACAGATTTCTAACTCCTCCTGTTTGTTCCCCACACAGCGTGCATTGGTGTGCAGGCATTTCAGGGAGAGAGCTGAGCACGCTGATTGCACCCTAGGGGGGTGGGAGGCCTTCTGTTCATTTACACTGGCAGATGGAGAAACTGGCCCATGCTGCAGATGAGAAATGCTGTTATGTTACAACCATACCAGTACTTTGGATCCCTTACTGACTGAGGACTATGGTTTTGGTTTTATTTGTTCTCCTTTACTACAGAAATGTTGCTATAAATGTAAACTCTAAAGGCAGTACAAGAACAAAGAGAATCATTTTATACTCATTCAATGTGTTTGATTTTTTTTTTTTTTTTAAATCCAGACAAGGAATGGTAAGATGTCATCTTTAAATATATCTATTTCTAGAACTGTCATTTACTTTTAGCCATGAAACCCCCTGGAATTTGCCACTGTATATTATGTTTTCTGTGAGCAATGATTAAAGACCTCTGATTGATAGCAAAGAGCAGACATGTTCCCCTGAAAAGCAAAATGGCTCTTAGTTCCTGGATCACATTGTAAACTGCCACTTCAGCCGTTTAGTAAATAACCCATTTTGATTTCTTACTCTCTATATAGGACTTTGTTTTTTATTTACTGTGGCAACAGAGTTCCATAAAACCATACTCTTTCCTAATATATACTAGAAGAAAAGATTAGAGAGGTTAAAATGCAGTTTTGTAATGCACATGTTTTTTCAAATACACATAACTCATATTCCATATCACTGATCCCCATTTTTCTAACTCACCACTTTCAAAAAACACAATAAATTCCATGTGTCCTACCCACAGATACCAGGACAGGAACTACAGTGCTAATGGCACTCTAGTGGTCATGCATTGCTTAGTAGGTGCAAAACTCTTCCCCAAAATTTCCAGAAAATGTAATGGCTTTTTGCTGACATATTGATGAATTTATGTCACAGCCATTAACAGATCAGAAGAAAGTGAAAATATTTTGGTCTAAGTTTTGCTGCTGTCAGTTGTTTCTGACGCAGGAAGAAATACGAGTTCTCTTTCTCATAATGTAAAGTTTCTTAACTGGCCACATGCAAAATGGAGTACTTTGGACTTCTTCCAATACGTGGCTAGAGGTTCATAAAGCATGATGAATCATTGCTCTGTCCTTATTATATTTCTTTATTGCAGTCTGAAGAAACCAAAAATATCAGAACCTAATGACAGCTTTGCTGCCTGAGAGAGTCAAATGTACCCTGTGGTCTCAGCATGAGATCTCATTTGCCTAAAGTCAGAAGCATTTAGAATAATCTAATAAGCTCAGAAATCTGTGAACTTATCAGACCAGGCCAAAAATGTACCAAACCCAAATAAAACCAATTTGAAGACTGCAGATGATCTCAAGATGGTCCTGTGTTCTGGAAAACTGTTGTGGTTTTTTTTCCCCATCTATTGTTCTAGTAGATATTATCTCTCTTCCCAAGCTATTCCCCATAAAGTAAATAATTTTTGGTTTAATGATTCCTTCCAACACAGGCCTGATTCTTTGTACAGAGCAGAAAGTGGTAAAGATGGAGTATGACTGCTCCCTTCTGCTCTCTTCTCATCCTATGTTAAGCCCAGTTTGGTTTGGTCTCAGGATCTATCTGGTCAAAGTATTTAAAGGAAATACAAAGGTGTCTGTTAATGGAAAAAACCACAGATTTTACATTTTCCACTGACTGGATTTGGGGGAGGAGGGGAGAAGAAGGTATTCGTTTGATTTGTTTCTCAAAAAGAAATCCTGGTTTATACACAGGCTGAGAGAGTTGGGGCTGTTCAGCCTGGAGAAGAGAAGGCTCCCGGGAGATCTTATAGCGGCCTTCCAGTACCTGAAGGGGCTACAAGAAAGTTGGGGAGGGACTTTTCATAAGGGCAACTAATGACAAAACAAGGGGAAATGGGTTTAAACTGAAAGAGGGGAGGTTTAGATTAGATATTAGGAAGAAGTTCTTCACTGTGAGGGTGGTCAGACACTGGAACAGGTTGCCCAAGGAAGCTGTGGATGCCCCCTCCCTGGAAGTGTTTAAGGTCAGGTTGGATGAGGCTTTGAGCAACCTGGTCTAGTGGAAGGTGTCCCTGCTGCTGGCAGGGGGGTTGGAACTGGATGAGCTTTAAGGTCCCTTCCAGCCCAAACCATTCTGTGATTCTATACCAGGCAGCAGAAACAAATTTATGTACCTTTACATCCTCTATCCTCTGCATCAGGGTTTCTATCGTGTTATCCTCGGGCACGGGAGCATCCAACAGCTGAGTGCACTGCTCTTTGTACTGCTGTAACTTGGCTGCTGCCTCAGTGCATGAAGTATCGCAGGGCTCCCAAAGCTGCAGCGTCGCTTGTGCTGCCCGCAGTTGATCTGTGATGTCTTCATTTACTGAGTTCCACCTGCCAAAATATCAAAGGATAAGAGCCTTTTTCCTAGTAGATTCTTCTCCACAACATGATGAATCTCTTGTGGGAGGTTCTTTGCATTCATACCCATGTTACTGAAAGGCTGCTGACAGAGCATCATTTTGTGCTCTGTGATCTACCACAAAAAAGGTAGTACCAGCTGCTCCTCACACAGGTACCCTTAGACAGGTGAGCCCTAGTAATATAGATTTTAAAATCTGAAAGATGTTCAAGTCCTACCTCACCAACTTTTTTTTTTTTCTAAAAAAGCTTTTTTTTTAAGCTTTTTTGCAAGCTTACCTAGTGTGTGCCTCTGTGCACTTGTGTTCAATAATCTCTGCAAAGGAGGGGGAGCAGTTCTTCTTCAGGTTACTGGCAGCAGCCTGGAGCTTGGCACAACTTTCTTCGTTGTTCTCTGATTCATCTTGAAGAGACTGTAAAATGGATTATTGCAATTAGTTGTGGAGATGAATGACCTAAGTACAGCTTCCCCTATAAATTGGTAGGGATAGGGTAGCAATAAGGCCACACATCTCCAGCATAGATTAAAATGTTTGTGAAAAATGTAACACCTGATCCTAAAAATTAGGCAGCTAAAAGAGAGGTGAAATGGTCCAAGTTAAAAAATTATTCAGTAGGCCTATTTTAAACTGAGATAATTTATCTGCTGTTAAAAAATCAGCTCATTTAACAAACCCACAGCCTTGAATTGATTAAATTAATTCACTAGGAACTAAAAATGTTTTTATTTTAAACCTCTGTTTCAGGGAAATTTCTACTGACAGTAAAGTTGGCTTGACAACTCCAGTCCCTGGCTGCATGTTCTCCCTCCTGATGCAGGCAGTTGCAGAACCCTGCCATGGATCATATCTGTGAACTGATCCAGATTAAAAATAAAGAGGGTGATGGAAGGAAGAAGGTAATAAGGTGCCCAGTTCCTTCCATTTATTACATGCACCCACGTGAGGGTGGAGAGCGTTTATGCAGGCTTTACTGCCAAGAGACAGGTACCCAGGATTTGCAGCTTGCACTGCTTCTGATACAACTTGAAAATAAACCAAACCAGGCCTTATTTACACTGGAACAGGGAATGTTTAAACAACCTTTCAACACTTGTTTATAGCCAGGTAAGGTGATTTTAACTGTATTGTAAAACATTCAGACCTGGGGCCAGCCTGCCTGCCTATTCTAGATACCCCACGGAGACTCTGCAATAGCCAAGCAGAGCAGCAGGATGATCCAGAGCATTTACACCCGGCATTTGTGCCCAGTCTCATTCAGAGGTCATGCAGGAAACCCCAGCTCTTTGGAGGGAGACTGAATAGTGGACTTTGTGCTAGAGGAATTGGAAATATCAGGTTCGAGGATCTCTCTCTGATCTAGGGCTGCTGCACCCACCCAACCCAAGCCACAGCTTTTGGGAAGGGGAGTCCTAGGCCCTGGACCTTGACTCCAGTTCTGTTTATACATAGAAAGATGCTTAAATGTAAATAATGCTTTAATGCAAAATGTGTCAGCAGTCACCAGCACAACAGCTGGGACATAGTTCCCCAAGCAGAACATTCAAATCACAGATCCAGAGACATGGTTTTCTTGCCAATTTTTTCCCAGGTCCCCTTGATTTCCTGCACTGAGTCCCATCATCGATGCACAGGCATCTCCTCCCAGGTTATGCTACAGCCTGATGGCAGGGCACTGCCCTGGGAATCGCAAGCAAGGGGGGAAATTTCCTTCCAACCAATTTGCTGACAACCAACGTCTTTCACCTGAACGGTGAGTAACCTTTAGGCAAACAAACACATATAGCAATGGCATCAGGTTTTCCTTTGCCAACTGTATTTTCAGCTAAACTGCCTGCTGTCCATATGGATTAGACATGGAGTAAGTAGACACTAGCATGAAGGATAGTGGTGGAGTGCACATGTCCATCTGGACTCTGTAGTGCAAGGAAACAGGAGGACCTGGTGCTTCATACGGTGCTTCCAGCACGTGCAGAAGACCAAAACATTAAGGGATCTTTGCAATCCAAAATGGAGGCTCTGCTAGCCCACAGTAAGGCAGACATGGCAGCAGCTGACTTGTACTTCTCTCTTGAATCTTGGTACCTAAATTGCACTGAAGTTGAATTTAGGTGCTAAATTAAAAATAGTCCTCAGTGCCTCAGTAAAAAAAATAAATAATAACAAAAATAAAAATCCACTGACTTCAACTGCACTATAATAAAGAAGAAGTTGCTCAGATAATTTTTTCTGTCTTTTTTTCAGTGGAGTTTGTTTGTTTAAAGGCACGGGAGGAAGTATAGAAATAAGACAACCTCAGTATATTTACCTGGAGAGTTTTGACCTGGTTTTTCAAAGCTTCCAGTGACACCACAGAAGGTTTACACTGGTCTATGTAGTACAAATATCTTGTTGTCATCAGGCTGACTTCTGCATAAACTTCATCATATACTCTCCACTGCTCCAGTATTGACTCCATTGAGGTCTTTAACTGTGCAACCTGCAAATGAACCACTTTTGTTACTATTTCTTCAGTAGTCTTAATGTATAAACCAACTTTAAATTGACTTAAAAATCTAGGCTCTATGCTCACTCCATGACAATCCACAAGAATTTCACAAGTTGGAGTATTTTCCTACTTGGTAAGGAATTGTGCAGGCTTCAAACCAAGCAGTAAACAGTATTTACAGTGAAGTATAAGAATTCACTGGAAATAAAAATTTAACCAGATCTCAAGGTAGCGTTATTCTGTCAACCACAAATCCAGAACCTCACAAAAAGTAAAAAGTACTGAAGTAATGAACTGCTGATTCCCTCCTGCCAAAATCAACCTGAAGTGGGAGGAAGTTGAGAGCCTTAATCTTCTTAGGAAGCAGATAGTTTGATCCAGAGATCAAGTTTCCTTTTAATGAAAATGTCAACAGAAATTGTTTTGTAGGGAAGAAGACACTACTACAATACTCTAGAGAGCTATGATCCCTCTTATGCCATTGTGCTCTAATAATGAAGGCCCACCTGAATCACAGTCTAGGAACTTCAGGATTCTCATATAAAATTAAATCATGAATATGCTCTTTGTTTTCTGTGTCTCTTTCATTACTACAGTCATTTAATCTGTATTGGGGCAAGCATGGTTTCCATTTGCCACATACTCCTAGACATTGCAAACACAAACCCACAGTCCTCCTTCAGTGTGATTTGTCATCTTAATCCTTCTGTATCAGGTAAGTACATAAGGCATATCCTAGGTTAGACAAAACATTCATCTAGTTCAATATCTATTTTCAGTAATGCCAGTACCAGATGCTTTGAGAGGAGCATGAAAACCTGGCAAGCAAACAAGCATGTCTTCATGAGACCTGGCAAAGCCAGATGTCAGATTTCAGTTGACTATGCATCCCCACAATGGAAGATGAAGACTTCTCTGCACTGTAGTGCACACTAAATAGACTGTGTGGATCACTGTATCCTAGTATCCTAGTTCCAGGCATGCAGGAATAGATGGATTAATCATCCCTATTCTCATTTGAATCATGGTATAGGTGGGAGGAATCTCTAATTGCGTTTTGCAGCCTGCGGCTAATTACTGCCCACACACACAGAAGACGGAAAGACATCATGCTCAAAAAGTGTGTCTGGGCCACAGACTCACAGGCTTGAGATCAACCTATGGACAATACAATCAAGGTATCACGTGTCCTTAGACCTATATTTGAAATCACAGCATGGCTTTGCTGAAAGCAGTCACCTGTGGGAAGAAAGCAGCACTTGGTGTTTCACTGCACATGTGGACAACTAGGCTGTGAGAACATTCTGCAGTTTGTAAGTTCAATACTTAAGTCATAAAAATACTAAAATTAACATGACCCATGGTGACTGTAAGAAGAAAAAAGCACTAGGCTGTCAATCCTGCCAATTTCAATCCCCAGCTCTACAGTGGAAGGAAAAACTTTCATCACATACACAAACAAAAACTTCTCTGCTTTTTTGGTAAGAAACAGCCACATAATATCTTTTGAAATCTAAAACAAGAAGCAGCAGACCCATCCTGGACTGACACCTCATGTGGAAGAGTTCAAGCAAAAGAGTTCAGCTTTCACAAAGTTTTGAGAACAAAAGCTAGGTGTTTATAATAGAAAGGAAAGGGAATCAACTATAAACACAATCACTACATCACAAATAATCCTCTACAGTATATGGTTATTTATTATCACAAATTTAAATCCATAAATGTACTCATTATTACATCTTCTGTGCCTATTAATTACAAAAGATCAGTTCCAAGTATAAAGACCATGTAACTATAAATGCAGACTGCTGGGGAGACAATTTGCATGGGAAACCAATATACCAGACTCTCCTTGAAGCAACTGGAAACTACACAGGATTTCAAGATAGCGAAAGCCATCCAGGTGTGTGGATGAAAGACTAACTGGGAGATGGAAAAGCTACAGAGAGAACAGGGCAGGAGTGGGCAGCTCCCACCAGCATACTATAGGGGAGAAAAACCAGGGTATGGAAGAAAAGCAGATCAAGTAAGAGAGTTTAAGGTTTCTGTTTCCAACTTAACAAAAATAGCAGTGTTATTTCTCTATTTTCTTAAACTGCAGATGAGGGTCTGTCCCTCCTCCCCCTGTATTCAAACTACTTTGAGATAAGACTTTTTTTCTCTTTCAGCTTTGGAAATACATTAATTTACATTATGGTAAAGACTTAAAAGAAAGTACTTAGGAGTTTTAAGATTAAGAGTAAGGAATACTTTGCATCTTTTTTGTACAAGATTGTGCCATCCCATGAAGAAAAATTGTAACATTGGTGGGAAGACTATGTCATGGAGGAATCTGAAAGCAAACAAAGCTTTTACCTGGCTTACAATGCTGTCAACCATTTCACACAGCTCATCTATCTTGAGAGACAGAGCTTCTGGGGTTTGTTCTGCACTACCATTCAAAGCCAAACCCTGTTTGAGCTCATCAAGAGTTTTGGATTTAGTCGTGAGTTGATTTTCTAGCTCCTAAATGAAAAAAAAAAAAAAAAAAAAAAAAAAAAAAAAGAAAGATAAATAACATCTTTTAACGAGACCATAGAAAAAAACCTGTGTGAGTAGCTTAGATAAAGTTTCCTCCTTTAAAACTAATTCCATGTAATTCTTCAGCCATGCAACACCACTACAATTTCAACTCTGATACACAACAGCTGCTTTACAGGAATTCAGAATGACAGCGGCTTCTTTAGAGTCTCCTGCAGGTAGAGCTTGAATCAGACCATTTAGTGTCAGCATGAGCACTGGACATCATGCTTCAGAAGGAAATCATCAGGAGCTAATTCCTCAGCCACCATGCAGGCCTCTTTGTACCTCTCCAGACTGAAAAAGATTTTATATTAATGCAGCTGAACTTTTCCTTGGGCAGGTTAGCATTCAGGTCCTCCTAACTTCCAGCACACAAAGGTAAGATAGGAACTGATTTTGTAATATAAGAGTTCCTGACATCCTCACAACTTCTAGAAAATTATTTTCATCTTGTCATCTTTCCATCCCACAGGAGAAATCCCACTGAAATTAATGGAGATGCCTGGGAGACTAACTTCCCCCCTAACACAATCAACAGGATTATAAGCTAGTCTTGACATTCTGGGGAAAGCTCAGCACTAAGTTCTTCACAACATGAGCAAATATCCATACACACAACGGGCCATAACATTTTCCTATAATACTACGCTTCAATCCATGACCTTTTTTCCCCCCCACTTACTGTCCCCAAAACATTTTCAGATATGGACCTCATTTCTGTTGAGCAAATTAATTTTAATGAAACATTTTAGCCACCTGCATCCTAGCACTCTACCTTGCTGTGAGCAGGTTAGTGTTTTAGTCTAAGATACCCTGTGCCTTCTCTCCATTGTGGCCCCTTGATACGTTTCAGAGAGACAAGTAACTCAGTGTGTAACAGAGCACTCTAGGCAATAAAAGCAGCCTACTACAAGAGAGAGACACGTAACCATGGCAATGAAAGAACAAATATTCCATGTTAAAAAACAGAGAAGACTGTACTGAATGAAAACAGCAGACTGTCAGAGTAATAGCAGCCACTTATTAGCTGGCTGGACCTATACTAATTTTGAGGGAGCTGAAGCCTAGAAAAATACAACAAAACCAAAAGACACCCAGTTTCTTGAGGCTGGTGCAGAAAGACTACATTCTAGAGCAGGAGTTGCTATTTTTCCAAATGGGACTGTCTAGTTTCCACGACACTTCCACCACAGAGTTCTTCAGACTAATGGAATTGATAGCTTTTGCCATGGCTATGCTGAACTGAGAAGTACTTCTTTTGGAGGCATAAGATCTACAGTATTGCTGCACAACACTCCAAGTACTACAGAACAACAGCAGATGCATCTTCAATTGGAGGGAAAAAACATAAAATAGCAATTCACATGAAAAGTGGATCTGGATCTTTATCACCTGAATCTAACATGCTTTAATCAGAATCATAGAATCATTTGGTTGGAAAAGACCTTTGAGATCATAGAGTCCAACTGCATCTGTCCACTACTAAACCATATCTCTGAGCACCTCATCTACCCATCTTTTAAATACCTCCAGGGATGGTGACTCAACCAACTCCCTAGGCAGCCCATTCCAGTGCCTGAGAACCCTTTCAGTGAAGAAGTATTTCCTGACATCCAATCTGTACCTCCCCTGGTGTAACTTAAGGCCATTGCCTCTTGTTCTATCACTAGTTACCTGGGAGAAAAGACACACATCTGCCTCCCTACAACCTCCTTTCAGGGAGTTGTAGACAGTGGTAAGGTCACCCCTCAGCCTCCTCTTCTCTACGCTAAACAACCCCAGTTCCCTCAGCCGCTCCTCGTAAGGAGCTATTAAACTCTAGTATTCTAGGAAATGGCAGCTTCCTTTACATTTTTTTCTGTTAAAATCTGTGCAGTTCTTTAGTTTGAATTCAGCAAAGTGCTAAATATGTTTTTTATAATAATGTCACATATATAATGCTTTACCTTGCAATCATCTAATGTGTTCTGTGCAGAGATCAGACTTGCTGGGGTTTGTAAAGATCTCAGTCGATCACTTTGAGCTTCCAGCCAGTTCCGTAGGGTCTGTGCTTTGTTCTCATTTTCAGTAATATCCTCCAAAATGTGTTGCAGGTCTTGTATCTGAAAGTTACAGAACTATTTTAATGTACTTAAACCTAGAGGTGGGCAGAAACAGGGCTCCCCCTTCCACAACAAAATTTGAAATGACAATACTTACATTGAAAATACTATTTAGAGAAAATATTTTGAAAGGAAAAGCTAAAAAGTTTTACTGGCTCTTTAGGATCTGACCTCTTCCCTGGGAGTAAAGCAAGGCAGTGTAGATTCTGGAGCTTGCAGCCTGTGGACCTGACAAGTTGGGGGACCCTGGACTACATGGACATATTCATATGCAGTCTGAAAACCTCATTCTCCCTAAAACCCACCAACAAAGTTACTAATAAGCAAGGGACCTCAAGTCTCCTAACTTTAGTCTTGTCCCTGAGGATCCATTAAATCCTACAGTGCAGCTTCTGGAAAATGGTTAGAGAAGATAACTTCTTCCCCCCATCAATCTGAAATTTTGTAATGGAAATTTCTAATTGTGCAGGAACTGAATTTTCCACTTGAAAATGTTTCTGGAAGACTGCATCAGAAAAACCTGTAAATTTTCTGTTTGATCATCAGTCTTTGTATCTGGATTCATGGGGGGCAGCTTCTCCCAAAGCCCTGTAAATTTGTGAGAGAAACAGAGTTGAAAGAGGAATGTGCTGGTAGAGGTATTCATTCCAGCAGTCTCATGTTTGTATTCTGGGATGCTAATCTTCCCCTGGTCTTTTCCATATCACATGAGTCACACTAGCTTTTCTGGGCAGTGGGGCACACAAGCAATGGCATCTAACTCTGGATACATGGATTATTTCTATCCTCACTAAAATAAAGTAATTCTGAGGCGCTGCCTGAAATCAGTGTTCTTCAGAGAAACACAGAGGATGTGCTGGTGTAGTCAGTCTACATGTAGAATTTGCCTATCAGCTGCTGATCTTCAAAGCACTCCATTGGGAAAGCATATTTAATTACTGTGGAACACAGACCTAGAGTAACCCATTTCCAGTGACCCAGGAGGACTGGAGCAGGGCTGGGAATTGATCCCTGCTGTGCCTTTTCCAGCAGGGTCATATATCCCCATTTGAATATGGCTGTCAACACTACTGACTTAGTAATTACTTTTTTGGCAAATCCAACTGCTACAACAAGAAAACGGGTGGCAGCTTAATATATTCCTATTTCTCATTCCCATCATATAGTACGTGGAGGGGTTGTTGGCTTTTTTTGGTGCTGTTTTTGCTGAGCAGGGCCTGGCTGTTTGTAACAACCAGTGTAGCACCTTTCCCTTCCACAAACCATCGAGTGTTTTTTCCCCAGTAAGTTTTAAATACCCGAACTTTCACAGTACCCCAAAGCTTCAGCAGATTTCACTAACAGGTTCCCCTGCAGACACTACCCTGAATTCTTCATTTTTCAACATTTTCTCAAAATAGGTTGCCTTTGTTGACATGTCACTGACTGTATCTTCTTTAAATGAGGGGTCTGTTTTTTTCCACCTAATACAGTCAACTAGGGTAAATCCCAGGCTGTCATGAATATCATATTTTGCCTATTTTCCCTCCCTGCAAGTCACAGAAGAGTTTACCCTCCCAGACCTCGCTGAGGTTTGGATGCCTGCCCACCAGCTGATCAGTGATGTGCTACGAGATCACTCCACAGGCTGCCCATGAAACAGGAGGATGGACAGACAGCAGAGAGCACAGGGAGCCTCCCTGTGTTCCGCAGTGTTTTCCGACTCAGGGAGAAAGGCTGCTAGCAAAATACAGAGCACTGGAACAGGCAAGATCAGAGTTGTGAGAGAGAAAGCAATGACAATTCAATCAAACCTTTCTGTTCAGAGACGCCTGCAGCCTGTGCCACCGCAGGTTCAGCTCTCCAAGACACTCGGCAAACTCTGTCCTTTCATACCGCTTGCTTTCCACGTCACAAGTGCTCATCTGCAAGAGCGACTGGTTAACAAAATCTACTGTCCACTGTTTAAAGTTCATTTCCATCATATATTCCTGGAGGGGAAAAAAGAAAAAGAACAAAAATGGAGAACAATTAGTTTGGTAGTTTCAATCTGATCAGTTCCAGTGATGCTTCAAGGCATAGTTATGGGACATTCATGGCTTATTCTAAACCATGGCCTAAAATATTTTTCTAAAAGAGACCTGGCTGTAGGAATAATTCTCAGTTTTTACCATTCTCTATTTGTGTAGCTATTTCCATTCACTGAAATTTTTGCAGAAATCACTATCATTACGTAGATACCTCAAGGTAAGAACAGGCTAGTGCCAGAGCAGGGAATAAAAACCTAGAGGTACCAGACCTAGTACACTATCCATCGGACAGTATCATCACACTGCCATGGGCCCAGACCAGAAAAAGACCGAGGCCTTCCCATACTCCTGTGACTCGCAGGCAAGAGCTTTTGCTCCATTATCAAAATATCTGGGAGGAAAAAGTGTCCTCCAGCAGCAATCTCTCTGCCCACAGAGATGAGTGGGGAACTACAGGCAAAGTGAGGACATAAGGGAATGCCTTTTTATGTCAGAAAGTCTTAGGACAAGAGGGGAGGAAAGAGTTTCTCACTTTATCTAGTAGTACCCAGAAAAAACCCACCAGGGATTACCACAGTAGAGGTACTGAAGCCATAGCTGCTTCCTTGCAGGAATTCATGACCCTCATCCCAGCTTTTCTCTCAGCATACACATCCCCACGTTGCTGACAAGTTCAGAAGACACACATACAAACTGACCTCTAAATATCCAAAGGGTTAAAAACAGCACCTCACCTACATGTTACAACTTCCAAACACAATTGGTATAGATCAAAATGTCATATATCTGCTATACTATACAAAGGGCACTTGGAAAGAAGTGCTTACATTGGCACTTGACTTACATGCAGTACCAGAGGGCCCGAGAACTGCAGCTGCAGAATGAGAACTGTCATCCTGTCCGAGCACAGAGCACCTCTCGGTAGCTCTGTGAGGGCAGAGTAAAATATGGCTCTGCAGGGATTTGTGCCCTGAGGTTGGGCTCCCTGGCATCTGTGGTGGTACAAGCATGGCTTGGATCTTTCCTCTGGCTGGGGCAATCAGCCTCTGCCACTGGTGCTTCATCGTCCAAACAGAGCCAAGAGTCTGCTGCAGCCTCTTTCTCTGCAGGGATGTTCATCTTGTCCCCCCCTTCCTAGCAGGTTATCTCTTTTGAGGAAACATAATATTCAAAAACCCTGTTCTCTAGTGAAATGCATCCTGCCATGGAGCTCCAAAATTACATTGTATTCCTTGTCGAAAAGGCAGACTAAAACACAGCACAAACAGAGTCTATTTTCCTAAGGAAGCAAAGCTTTCCTGTGCAACTCATTTTATAATCTAAATGTGAGAGAGAACAAGTGAGACAGATGGGACAGCATGAGGAAAAGGAGCTTATAGCACAGCAGGCAGTAGGTGTATTGCAGGGCAGGCAGTGTTTTGTGCAGCATGGAAGCAAAAGGTTTTTATAAAGGAAGATGTTAAGTCACGTTTGAGACCATTGGAGAAACCCTCCTGAGAGCAAGGGGAAGGATATGACAGTGCCTGTAGGCTGTTTCCACCCTTGTTACAGCCAAACACATTGCAGAAGTCCTGGACTTACAGATTCCCATTTACCTTGGCCTTCTGAAGGAGGTTTCTGACTTGGGCAGCGCTACGTTGTGAATTTACTGGCTCCTCATGTCCCTGCTGTTCTTCCACATGGTCCAGCCAGGTCATCAGTTCAGCGATAGCTTCCCGTGATGAAAGTTTTTCCATCTGAAGCTGGTGGTAAACCATAAAATGAATCCTCTACACTCTGCTTGTTAGGAATATCAAGGAAGATGACATCTGTATTTTTAGAAAGGCTCAGACACTATAATTGCAATTATCGGGGTATGAACTTGAAACTGAGCCCTGTGCTCCAGAGAGGCATATGACTTTAATTAAAAGGTTGAGAATTCAGAAATCTGAAATAAAATTATTTCTAATTGTAATAGACTTTCATATAAAACTGTAAAGATGATAGATATGTGCAAAACAGCCCAGGAAGAACTCTACAATAATTAATCTGCAGTACAATATTGGGGATATTCTGAAAGTAAGACAGACACCTAATTAAGACAGAGGTGCTCTGGGTGCCTTGTGGAGCAGAAAACTGAATCCCAGCAGCAAGTTTTTAAAGTAATTATTTAGCTCGAACTGAGAGATGGCAGCAGAGTTTCTTCTCACCTGGTGAAGTCTTTCTTGGATGGCTGGGAGCTGTACAATCAGTTCTCCCCATTTTTGCTCAAACTTTGACAAAGATGACCTAAGTGCTGCAGTATCACCTTGCTTCATTTGAAAGAGCTGGTTGGCAGTGCTCACCACAGACGACTTCAGGGAAGATTTTTCATCAACTTCCTTAGAGAATGTCTGAGGTGCATGGGAGAAATTTAAGAGAGGGTAAATACATATCTATTTAAATAAAGAAGACAAAAGAGGTTTTTGGCCACAGGATGAACTGTCTTAACATACAGATTTTAGCAAGCCTGGAAAGTTCAGAAAACCTGAACTCAACATGTTCTGGCAGCAGGTAAGGCCTTTTCTGCCCATCTTGATACAATGGTAATAGCACCTTTTGCTCCACAGGGACTGTGAGTATCCCCATCTCCATGTCACACCATGGTCCAGGGAGCAAGCCCAGTCCTGAAGTCTCTAGCCAGCTCACACCTACCAATCCAACCTTCATGACTTTTTGCTTTCCCTATCAGTCCAACCTTCATGATGGTTTGCTTTCCCATTGTGCAAGACTCCCTCTGTCAGGCCTCACATTGGTGCTGAACCTCCTGGTTGGTCATACAAGGGGAGCACAACACCAGGGGGCAAAGACATGAAATGCAATTCAGCATGTTTCTCTTCCCTGACTTTGGCTCACCATCTTCACAGCCCCAATGTCTTCACCCCTGCTCCCTGAGCCCACACTCCAGACTCAGTTGGTAAGTGGCCCATCAGTTTGACTGAACTGCTGTATCTAGTATTTGGCATCCAGAGCAAGACAGAATTACGTGCTGTTACGCTGTAGGTGCACAAGAGATCCTGGCTGAGCTGATATGTTGCAGCTGGGAGCTCATTGCGAGAGGATTTCATTCTGATTTAGGCACTCTGGCTGGCCTCGCAATCTGAAGGAAGGTCTTTGGTGGCCTCCCATCATCATGGTTCCCCACACAGACAATGGGGTGGTTTTGGGGCACGCATCCATTCAATCCTATATTGTGTGGGCAGCTTCAGGGTCACAGCAAATACAAAAGCTACTCAAAAGGGTCATTATCATTGGAAGTCACAATGTCTTAGGTAAACCTGGCAGGAGAAACGACTTACAAAAAAGCTGTTAATGTTATCCCTGATGGTGGGAAGATCCTGTGACACATTGAGAGACTGCTCCTTCCAAAAATTCATTCTCTGCAGAGCAGAATCCAGCCACTTCATTAATTCCTCTGAGTCTCTGTTGTAGCTACAAAGAGGAAACAAAACACACAAACATACATCTAGCTGAGTCTAGGATACACTCTCACCCTCCACGCTGTCCTCCTCTCTGGGAGGAGGCATGTGCTGTTCTGGTACCTATGCTGCTACATGCTGCAGAAGCATGGCTACAGTATGGATTGATGTGTAACACGGCAGTTTTGCTGGAGGTACACTCGAGACTGTTCCTATCGGCTCTTTTCAGCTGGTCTGCTCTCCCTGAAAACATCCTCTTCTGTATTCACTCAGCAGTTGCCAGTACAAGCTCCCATGGGTGAAATGAGCTTTGCTGGAGGTCAAAACCACCAGAGGAGATTGTGCCTACTGCAAGATATAGTGCGGAATACACACTGCAGGGGTAAATACCAACTGGCATGCTCTTGTCCATGCTCTGGGTCCAGCCAACTTGAGCTCAGAGCACACAGACCAGGTACAGGGAGAGCTGAGCTTGCTACATCAGCTGGTGGACTGGGCTGCAGAGCCCCAAACTGTCTCCATCTGACTGCCAGGAATGCATTGACAGTTGGCTTGGGGCCTGTGAAAGCATTGAGCATGCTTGGGTCTTTCCCCTTTGGAGAGCTTCAAAACACAAGTTGAGGCAGCACGTCAGCCAGGTCATGAATGTTTGTAAGGTGGGTAGGGTACGCGCACAGACAAGGACATTATGCCTTGGCATGGAAATCAAGGCTAGCTTGCATTCATAGCAGACCAAAATGCTTATGGCAGCATGATCAGAGCTTCTGTTAATATTTTCAACATACAAACTGCAGCATGATGCAGCTAACTCTCACCTAGATGCACTGACTTTGCAATGGCAGCAATCAAAACATTGTTCCTACAAAAGTAAGCAGGAAGTGAAGCACTTGTCTACACAGTGAGAAGAGATCAGCTGTGTAATAAAGGGCCACTTTTCTTGATCACCACTGCTTTTTTTTTCCTTTTCTCATTTTTAAGTTAAAGGAGCTATGTTATTTATTAATTCACTTTCATATTTCAGAAAAGACATGTATAGAAGGCCAGAATTTCTAGCTGATTATCTCTATCTTGCTTTCTAGTTATACCCACCTGACTAAGAGTTTGAGTAATGTTTGAAGTCGTTGTAGTTCATGGCCAACTCTTTTGGTTAAGGACAACCACTGCTCTTCCATCTTCCTGATCTGGCTTCTTATTTCTGGACAGTTCACTGCAGTCAGCAATTTCTTCCCTTCTTTCACCATCTGGTACAGTCTGGCATGCTTTTCATCAACACTGCTTTTGATTTGCTATCAGAAAATGGGAAGTTTGCAACATAGTAATATTTTTAAAACTGAAAACACAGCTAGCAAAACACAAATCATTTATTCTAACATCTTAATCTCATGTTTCCTCTGACATGTATTTGATTTTCCAAATGAAAGGAATCTGAATCTGTACTTTATTACATGCAAAAGGGACACAGGTGTGGGGTTTTTTTGTTTGGATAGATCAAGACAGATCTCAACATAATTTCATGCACTATCACAATGACTGTGTTGTGATTTGATGGTCTTTTTTTGACACACCTAAACCTCAGGCTATGGACTAACACTCTTTATCAGATCTGGCTGCATTTTCCAAAGATATGACTGTCCCCAGCAGAAAGCTATTGCCCTCCTGTCCTTAGAGGGCCTTCTGGCTCTATCCTATTTAAAAAAACATTACCAGTGCTTTGAAAGAAGCTGTTGGGATAATTATTGAATAATAGTGGCAGTAAGCAATGAAGAGTGAACAGTGAAGACATTAAGTAAGAGATATAAGAGTGTTCTGGTTTGCTTAGACAGATTAATAAAAACAAAGCATCATTTTACCTTCACTGCAAATTCAAAATGACAAAAGGGAAAAAAATAATAAAAATCCAGGAGGTAGATCAGTCCCAGGGAGACGGCAAAATGGAGCAATTTTGTGATGTGCAAGTACCTCACTTCTCTCCAGGCAGAAGGTGCTTGTAAAATATTTATTATTAATAGGAGTATTTCTCCCACAGGAATTAAGCTCCAGAAAATTTTACTCTGCTCTGTCCTCAAAACTGTGAGCCTCTAGTGTTGGGACTCACCCCAAAAGCATCTTCTAAAGCCTTACTACTTTCTTTCTGATGTCTTTAAAGACAAAGACTTAAGAGTAAAGAGCTAGTGAAGAACTTAAAAAAAAAAAAAACCACCAAAGGAAACCAGGCAACTTACAATCAAATATGCAAATATTCCATGTCTCCTCAGCATGACAGGCACCAAAAGCACCAGAAGGCCACTCTGATTGTAAATATCTACCACTGATTTATTTAATAGCTTTACTGTAGCTCAGAATTTTCTGAGAATGTCCAATGATCTCTTTCATGCAGTCAACTAGATTAAATCATAGTAGTCCTTTTTGCCTTTATAGTCTAAGGATCTAAATATCAAACTGGACTCAACATAGACCCAAAGACTTATTCATTCCAAAAATGCTAATGGAGTGGGTCCTCTGAAGATCAAAAAAGGCCAAATCTGTGAGGAATGCAAAGCATTCTGAGGATGCATCACTAAGTTTATTGAACACTATTTCTTCTAAATTTTATAAAACAACCATAAAGGCTGCTTTTATATCCTTATATTTATATGTGTTTAAAACATAGATAAAATGTTTCCAACTGGACTTGATGTTCTAAATAAAAGTGTAGCTCTGCCAACAGAGACGAAGCAGGGAACAAACTAGGAGCCTATTTGCCATTATAGACAAAAGGAATTTTATCCTCTTTGGTCAGACAGAAATCAGGGCATCTTATTTTGAATTCTCAGGATTTTAGAAGGAGCTGGTAAACCTCCTATTGCAGCCAGGGGTTCAGATATTTGAAGGCAATAAGTTGATTCTCCTCTTCCATAGGTTTTATATCATGGCATGAAAGTCACTCCTGAATTACAGAGAAGTGGCTCTGTGTTCACTCCAATCCTCCCTGCTGTCCTTGGGATCCATGTGATCTGTACACCATCTTCTCCCAAATACTTGCATTTGAAGACCAAGTTCTAAAGTAGCTATAGCCATTACTTAGATGAACTTTTAGCCCCTGGCTGAAATTAGGAGCCCTATCCTCTGCTACTTTTAAATGTAACATGGAAGTTTTCAGCACGCATCCACACACAGACAAGGACACAAAGAAAATAGAGCCCTGCAAACTATGTTCTCCTCATGTTCTAACTAATCTTATTAGCAGCTCTACAGATCCCCAGAGAAAACTAGTCAGAGAAATACCCATAAATACCTGTAGAAGTGCAATCCTTTCCATTAATCTTTCTTCTGTTTCTTCCACCAAACTCACAGAAGGCAACATGGAGGTGAGTGCCTCTAACTCCTTACTGAAAGCTAGGCATTCATCATCAAATTCCATCCATTCCTAAAAGATATGTTGCACCATTAACATAGCACACATCTATCTCTGTATTTTTGCTACACCAAACTGAGGCCTTAGTGCTTATTCTAGCACCAGCAGCTCTTGCTTTAATGAAATAGAACACGAAAACAGGTGAATAATATGGAAATACTAAAGTCAGGCATGGTTTCACCACAGATGAGTGAATGAATTAATTCTTGAACTTCTTCAAGATTTCTTATTTTAAAATGTTACACTTAATTTTTTATTCTCTAGGAGTGTTTTAAGATCAATTTTTAGGTTTTATTTTAAAGTGCTGCCAGTATTTTTGAGCCTTAAAGGGCTCTCCTTTCAGTCCAGGCACTCAAAAATTACTGCAAGAAGTCATAGTGTCCCATCTGTTAGATTAATGGATTGACCTGTCCACTTTCAGAGGTTTTCAAGGAAAAACCTAGTTTACTGACACACAGAACAAGTAATAGATTGTTGCCAATGGAGATAGGAAAGGACAATTACTAGCCAAAGAATCACTCATGCAGAAAGGGTTTCCCTAGACACAATTCTTCTTCTTCCCTCCAGCTTTTACTCTGGGTTTCTTTTGACTCATTACCTTTAACAGCATCTCTAAGTGTATACCATACTGGCAGGCCTTCTGCTCCAGCAACTTGACTTCATTCACCAGTTCTCTCCAGAACTCCTCTCTCTTTTGTAGGATGGAGGGAGTCACTTTCTTGGAAAATGTTTGCATGAAAGCCATGTGGGCCATGAGATTGCGGAAAAAGTCCTGAAAAAAAAAAACCCAACAAGTTAAAGCTTGCTCTTTAAGAGAGATCACACACCTGTAGCAGGAGTAAGACAAAGACGACCCACTGAGAAGAGCAGCCAGTTTCAGGGTCTCTCATATCTGGAGCCAAGAGCCTCCTACTGAAATTCTACATCACCCAAAGATTGGCAGTTACTGGTCATTTTATAGTTAGTCAAAAACCAGTGACAGAATAGAGTAAAATATTTTCAGTTGAAAGGGACCTACAACAATCACCTACTCCAACTGCCTGACCAATTCAGGGCTGACCAAAAATTACAGCATGTTGTCAAGGGCATTGTCCAAATGCCTCTTAAACACTGACAGGCTTGGGGTATTGACCATCTCTTGAAGAAGCCTGTTCCAGTGTTTGATCACCCTCTTGGTAAAGAAATGCTTCCTAATGTCCAGTCTGAATGTCCCCTGGCACAGATGAGTTGCATACACTATTTTCATTTTTTCATTTCTAAAGGAAAAGATCTACACTTAAAACTTCAGTTCATACGAAATACAGAGATGCTGTATGAAGATGATGGAAGGAAGAGTATAACTATAAATAAATTGATAGTTTAGCATAAGGTAGTTATCACCAGACATCCATTATCCAGTTTGTTTCACCTGGATGGGAGGTGACTCCAAGCACCAAGTGTATTAGCTGTTCTAAGGCCTAAGGAGTATGTAGGACACAATAATCCTCTGGGATAACTATAAGGTAACAGTTTGATTTAGTTATGGCTCAGCTGAGCTCTTGGGAAACATCTGAATCTCAACAGAACACTTTCCCCCACAAAAAAGCTTTGAAGGTTTAAGATCACACTCTTCAGTCAAGATCTTCTTCACTAAGAACTAATAACCAGTGCAAGAATTTCACTTAAGGACCATACCCCAGGCACAGGCTGTGTGAGCATCCTGTTAACTCTTGATAACCAGGGCAGGGAAAATGGCTTTTGCAGTTTTTGTTTGCTTTTGTAAAACAATGTATGTATATTTGGACTGCAGATACATTATCTGTTTTCCTTTGTAAACGAATTCCTAACATTTTGCTTTGGTAAGAGCAATTTGTGAGTGACAAACACCATTCCTATGTCTCTGGAGTACTGGTTTGCAGTGTTTGGTATCCTGAAGCAATTCTTAAGAGAGTTTAATTTACATGGAACAGTTAAATCAAGGTGTTGACATGAAAGAGACATCTTCAAGTGACTACCATTGGCCAGGGCTTCTTGCAAAGCGAGATGGTGAGGATTCAGGTGCATTCTCAGCCATCTCCCATCAAGCATGTAGCAGCGGGGTACAGGAGACATTGGGCTGCCAAAGGGAGGATCTAAACTATCCTCCCTTCACAAATAGAGCTGTTACAGGAAAGTTCCCTCCATCAGATAATGACAGCACAGAATGCTGAAAACAAAGGCTCAACTCCCAATGCTAGACAGCAACTTCAAGAACCTCACTACTGATTTAGTACCAGACTTAAGAAGGATGTGTGTTTCCCTCACACATCAGTATGTTCTGAGGCAAGCCAAAGTAGAATTAGACTGGTAAAACTGAAATCCTCATCTATTTTGGTCTGCTAAAAAACACTGCTTTGTTTTCTACACTTACTCCAGTCCCTCCCCTATGCTATGAGCTGGTTATTCTTCTCCATGACACTGGAGAGAAATTGGTCACAGAAAATACTGCTCCTGCTATGCTGATCTGAGCAGTGCTGTCATAAGCATCTGATACCTTGTGATTTTCCAGGTGAGACTGTAGAGCTGCTCTGCTTTTTGTTAGCTGCTTTGGATCTTGTGCAATCTTCTCTTGTCCAATAGCTACCAGCTCTGCAAATCCATGAAGTAAGTCCTCATACTGGCTCTCACTGATGGAAGGAGAGTTCAGCTCTGCATACTTTGCTTTCAGAATCCTCCACATGTCATCCAAAACATCCTACAATGTAAACACAGTTTAGTGATTCATGAAGGACAGAAATGAATCCTGCAAACCAGCACACACAATTGCAGAATGCAAAACAATCAATAGCCTTTTCAGGCTAAAAATGCATTGGGTAGAAGAATCAAACCTTGCTGCTAAGTGGAAACTACACTGTGCTCTTACCTCTAACTTATAAGCTTCCTGGATTAAGGTGATAGGTAACTGAAGTCTTTCTCCATGGCCTCTCAATTTTGCTACTTGGTTTTCGAAGTTTTGCAGCTCCAAAGCACAGGCATCAGTTTTCTGAATTGAAGACAAAATAAGCTATTAGGAAGAGTTCTGTTCCATTAAACTTTCCATTATTACTAGTGGAACAGCAGATCCAAGGACTGGATCTGTGCTGTGCTACCACTTCATAAGCTCACAATGAGACACTGAGACCCAACAATCTTACAAGCTAAATAGACAAGACTGTTCATGGCACAGTTTGCTGGGTTCACATGGCACGGCCAGGAAGGGAATTCAGGTCTTCTGTCTCAGTCCAACATTCAACATGCACTTCAGTTTACTAATTCAAGAGCAGCCATTAAAAGAAATAATGGACTCAGAAAATATCATTTTTTCTTATGAATTAGAAAGATCCAGTCAGGGATGGATTGAGACAGGCTCTCTCTGAAGCAAGGGAAGTTGTGTATTTCTGGCATTCCTTTTCCAAGAGTGGTTACTTGACAGAGTATATCTAAGGCAGCAGTCCCTGCCAGGGAATTCAGCAGTTCTGAACGCAGCTTTCAGCCTGGCAGAAAGTTATGCCTGTAAACAAGGTTATGAGCCTCTAACAAAAAAGTTTCAGGACAGCCTCTTTGCTTCACCAACAGGTAGATAGATAGACAATGACTATTCTGAGGAAGACATGCAGTCTACTAATTTTTAATTATCTGCTAATTCCTATGAAGGTTGAAGAAAATAGCTTAACTGGTCAAATGCCATATGATAAAGTGCTCATAAATGCTGAGCAAGTAGATATAAATACTGGAGTCCTATTCCCACAAAGAAAAGTTACTTTTGCATATGAAAAGGTATAACGTGTGAAGTGCTGTACTTTTCATAACTCTTTTTCTTCCCTGCTGTAGTGTGGGGTGTATTTGCTCTGAGAGGTTGTGGAGAGGCTGGTTCTTCCACTCCAACTACTAAAGGGACTGGAGTTAGGTCTGACTATGAATTAGGGTGTAGTAAAAGAAGAAAAAAAAAGGGTGGGGGGAGCTAATATTGAACTCTCTCCTTCCTCCATTCTTACAACCTAAGTGAGACTCAAACTTTAGAAAATCTGAAACTTAAGAGATCACAGAAAACTGGAAACAATACCTAATTTCCTTTAAATGAAATTACCTGAAGCTGTTCAGAAACATTATGTCCACCTATTGCATTCAAGCATTGTTGCAGAGCAGCTTTTTTCTCAGTTAACTGATCACAGAGCAGCCTGGTTTCATTCTGCAAAAGAAACAAATATCAGAAGTATATCACATATCAGGAATATACTAACAACCAGACAAAATTGCACAGCAAACAGAATGGTTACCTCTTATGGCAAAAGCACTTTTTCCTCTTCAAAAAACAAAATAAAGTATGTGCATTGTGGGCTTAAAGCAGCAATTTAGAGAGGGGAATTCTGTAGTCTGTGTTGTGTAAAAAAGCAGACTACTCTGTCTCAATGATCCTCTGTGACTCTAAAAATCTGTGAAACTTACAGAGAAACAAATTCTTCTCTTCTGAAAATGAGAAAATGAGCCCATTACTGGCGACTGATGGAGTTATGCTTGGATTCTGCATAACTAAACATTGCAAGACTAGTCCTGCTACTGTTTGGAGACAACATCCCAGTGTTTTCAGAGGAAATGTTTTATTATTCAGTAGTAAAGAGCTAGGCTGACTTGCAGTTGATGAGCACACTGGAGTTTTGCTGGACATTGGAAACTGTATTTCAGAGACCAGGCTTTTCTTTCCTTCCTTCAGACTAAATATCTGATCTGAATGTTTTCCAGCAACAGCTCGTATATTTAGCCCATCACAAGAATCCATAGGAAAGTTTCTCACTATCTGCTTTTCCAAAAAAGAACAAAAAAATGCAAATTTGCAAAACTATGGCATCTGCTACTGTGGAACAAAATCTAAAGGAACAGTAAAGGGTCAAATCAACCTCCAATCCATAACTAAAAGTAGCCCAGTACAGGACATGGTACTAAAAGGGAAGAAGCCTGCCTCCTTTGAGTCCATACAGCAGCAGAAAGAATATACAAAGTTCTCCTTCGCCTAATCCCTACACACAGAAACTTGCTTTAGCCTGTAGCTCAGCGTGCATGGGATCCCAGATTACTTCCATCCTTTCTGCATGCAAATTTCCTACTGCGATCAAGGCCTCTAACGTAGTCAGCATTGCAAACAGCACTGTAAACAGCAAAATTAATTTGCTTCTTGAGATGCCAAGACAAGTTTGTTTAGTATCGAAAAAAGAAAAAAAAAAAAAAAAGAAAAACCCATTATAGATGGCTAATCTGTAACCCAAATGCATTAACACCGACAAGTCTAACAGATGCTGTGAAACAAGATGTGCATTTGGCAGTGGAGTACCTGATAATTGCTATTATGATCCAGCCCAGCTTTCATAGAGCTGCTCCTTGAAGCAGCGGCAGCTTGAGTTTGTTCCAGCCGTGCCTGCAAGTTGTCAAAGCACTCACAGAACACATCTGTGCTCCCACCAGCACAACTAATAGACTTTAGAAGATCATCCTTTTTATCACTCAGATCAGTGTGAAGTTTTTGAAGCTCGACAGAAAGAGTCTAAAGAGTTGAAAGAAAGATAACATGAGTGAAAATGGTCTCTGTCCAAGGACTCTTGACTGTAAAAGGTAGCAGGACTCAAGTTGATAATTGTTATTGAAAACCATAGGCCCAAATCTGTGCAACGGCAAAGCTTGGTGGCATTATTCCTGAATAATACCAGCAAAACAGAAAGGAAATATCAGGCCATATATATTCTATTGTAACAGAAATCGACTGGTGTTTCCCCTTCCCTGAATGCTTTAGGACAGTTACCTCATAAAGAGCCTGCTGCACGGCTGCCTCTTCAGGGGAGAGGACTGAGGTGTTTAACATCTCCTCCATGTTATTCAAACATCGGCTGATCGCCAGAAGCAGCTCAAACAATTTTCTGTCCAAATTGGAAGAGACTTCCTCTGCCACATTATCCTGGGTAAAGGCAAGTTAGAAGTTTTCAGTACTTTCAGTCAAGGCATGGCGACAATTTATTCACTCATATAAGGTTAGAGGTTCAGTCAGCTAATAATAAAATTGAATTAATGAAATATTGGGGGACAGACTTGGATGAGACAGTTACATGCATGTTACATTCAGAGCTGTCAAGGCCAAAGCTGAGACAAAGACTCTGTATGTATTGCGAGTGGCTGTGGTCTTACAGGTCTCTCATCTCAGGAATGGGCACAACACAATCTGTTTTGTCAGCTCCAATACTGCAGATTTACTGAAATCATTCACAGGCTCCTTGCTTTGTAGAGTTGGAGGAGTTTTACCCACACTAGCAAACCTTTGGTTTCAGGTAGCAGAAGTATCATAGCTGAAACACGGAATGTTTCCTCTCAAAATCCTAAGCTGATTTCTACATTATAGTCCATACCTGATGGACTATACACTGTAGCAAAAGCTACACTGCAGTGAATGCCATCTGCCACAATATGGTTATTGGCTATGTTTCCCAGTGCCCAGTGTCTGGTGTCTAGAATCCCTGGTATTTTTTTGCGATGCTAGGATATGCCATTTTTACCTGTGCATGCACCTCATTTGCTTCTTGACTTAGGTCTCCCAGTTGGACAGTGTAAGTTTTCAGTTCTTCCACAGTTGGGGTTCCTGCACTACTGAATGTGCCTCGGGGCAGAATGTTCATCTTTGTGGTAATCTAACATTTGGAAAAAAAATATTGCAATTAGGTGAACAGCTCAAATGAAGACAGTTATGGGCAAGGAGATAACACTCCTCTCAAAAAGCATTAAAATAAAGTTTCAAGGCATTGATATAAAGCACCTGGATAGCAGGGTTCCCTTTTTCCTGGCAAAAATTAGCTGGGTAGGGTATGCCCTGATGGGACATTGACTGAAAAAGGGACCTCTGATTAACAGCTTTAAGGGCTGCAAGTTGCAGTTTGTGTTCAGGCAGCCCTGCTGCCCACTGCACTGTAAGTTTTGCCTGAAAAAGAGCTGACACTCATCCTTTTACATAACTGATATTCTTCCATGTAATGCAGTAATTTCAGAGAGCACGGTAATTCTAATTTAATGTGAACAAAACTGTTAATAACAGAAATTATAGTTTCATCCAAGCAGTAAAATTCTGCAGTCTGGTCAGAATAAATACATAATATGCTCTTGTTGCAGTCCATACTCCACTTTTTATATGTGAGAAAGAGAAAACACAATGGTGAATGGTAGAACAAAATTCAAGTCACAGATTTGTTCTGACCAAAATGTTCTCACTTGCAAGAACTGAGACTTAATCTACATCCACGAAAATCACCTGGGAGCTTGCTGGCTAACTCATAGTTCTCTTGAAAGAATTAAGCAGATAACATCTGGTCTGAATGTTAACTATGAGGATTCACCTATGTGCTCCCACACTATGCTTAGTAGTCACTACTTCAGAGACATTTTTTACCTCAAAGTAAAATAAAAAAAACAAACTATGATGAAAACAGTATGGAGTAACAATTTCCTCTGGAGAATGCTTGCACAGATTTCAGTTATCTGATGAAGAGACAGGATACGATGATGCAGGATG